AAGTATTTAATGAAACAAAGAAGAGCGAGATAGCAAACTAGATGGATGTGTTAATGGCTGAGTGCTAGGTCAGTCTTGTCGGGGTGGTTTATCATAAATCCGCCATTTGTTTTGGTGTTTGAGATATTATAATGCCCGTTAATGGGAGATCATGCACACAACCTTCAAATTGGGATTCTTTTGCAGCGATTTAAGAGGAAACTGCATAAAATAGACACGTGTGGTGAGGCTCGTATTGTTCCTTAAATTTGTATGTTTAGGTCATATTCTGCACTTCCTCTTATAATTTGTGTCTAAAGAATCTTAAATATGTATGTAGATTTTGTTAGTATAATAGCACTTAGCAGGACGTTTCGTGAGTCTTGAAAAAAAAAATTCACCAAAAAATAGAAGAACCTTCGGCATTATTCTTAAAAGATCATTCTAATTCCAATGCTTAAAATTATATGTCCATGCTAAAAACTATCCACTTATAACTATTATCACTATCATTAATTATCATTAAATTGGATCCAGAAGTGTTCGTAATATTATGAGAAACTAGAGGTGAGAAAGTGTGTCTAAGATTGAAAAAGTATGCATATATTGTAAACATAAAAGAAAATGGGCATTTTAATGAAATCAAACACCTGATATCATGGTGACAAAAAAAGAAATAAAACTAGTCTAGTTCTTAAATTTAAAAAATAAAATCTCTCTTTGTTTAATTGTTACAATTGTAATGACAGCTCACGTTTTCAAAAGTAAAAAAAAATCACCCCTTTTTTCGCAACATAATCACATAAAAATTGGAAGAAAAAAAAAACCTACTTAAAATAAAATATTCATAACCTAAAAACTATATATATCTGACGGCTAAAGCTTTTGGTTGAGGTAATGTCTATTACACATTCAAGTGAAAATGAGAAGTTAATTCTTTATGTTAAAAAGAATTATTCATATTGCCGAAAAATTCAAATTTGCTCCGCATGCAATTAGATTGATGAAGATCCATAAATTTTTTTAGCAAGGGGAAGGGGAATCATCCCAAACTAATTAATATAACAGTGTACGTCAACATTTCACTATTTTGCTGTATCAATGGTTGCAAGAAAGGAATACATGCACCAAAGTTACAAGAATGTCACCAAACTTTCAAACTAAAAGCCGAGTAATCGCATTCCCTGTGAGCATGGTCAAAGTCCTTTAAAGTATATGAGATTACAGCAAAGCTAGATGGGGACACTTTTGTTATATTGTGCCATTTTTTAGATTAAGAGTATGTTTGAATGAATAGTTTAATTAAGGCTTAATTAAATATTTTTTTAGTTATTATATTTTAGTCATTTTAATTTTTATGTATTTTTTGTTTCTAATTTTTTAAATTCTTTTATTTTTTAGTCATTATTACTGATTAATTTATTAAAAGACTGTCATAAATTAATTTGTCATTGAATCACATCAGCATTAAATAGTAAAATTAAAAATAATAAGAATAAAAAATTGTTCAAGAGGAATAAAATAATAAATTTGTTAAGACATACAGACTAAAATTATATTTAATTCATTAATTAAAAAATTATTAAATATTTTTTATATAAAATAACTTATGACATAAATTCAATTATAAAATTTTTAAAATAAATTTGAAATAATAATAAAAATCATAAATTGTTTTTATAAATTTTTCATAAACTCTTTTAAGTCTCTTAAATAAAGAAATTAATTTATTTACAAGTATCGCATTGGATCTCATTGGCTATGTTTCTTTGATGTAATTTTTTTAAAAAATAAATTATTTTTCAATGAATTTTTATTAATAAACTCTTACAGTCCATTTCTTTCGCTAGCTTTTAAAAAGCAACATCAATTCTTTGGCTAATTACATGACTCTATCTTCTATTATATAATTTATACTCATGAAATAAATAAATAAACAATCACCTTTGATTCATCACACTAAAACTTTTTGTAATTTCTTTCCAAGGTAATGATTGACTTTCACGTTCAAATTTAATCATTTGGTGCATAGCATGGCTGCTGAGAGAAATTCGCAGAGGCAGATAAGTCATAGCTTCAGAGGAAACATCGTGTGTGTCTAATTTTCAAACTTGAGCGTGGAAAGCTTTAGCAATACCAATACGATGACGGTTTCTCCCTCTTTTTTTTAGAGCAAGGGGGGGGGGGGTGTAAATATTAAAAGTTACTTCAAAAGTATATTTACTCAATTTAATATTTATTTTTTATCCATTAATTTTTTTAATTAATGTGATATTAACATACTAATTATGCATATTAAATTTTAAATAAATTAAATGATTATAAATTTTAATTTTAAAATTTAATATTTATTTATATTTTAAAAATATATTACATATTAAAATAAAGTTATATAATGAAGTACCAAATAATTTTTTATATAAATATTTTTTATAAATTTAATCTATTTTACAATATTTTTTAATATTTATAGAAAAATATTAAATAGAGTAACTGGTAAGAGTTACTCGAGAATTTTAAGTAAAAATAGAATTATTATTCTTTTATATTAAACCCATTTGGAATCGTTGCGTGTAGTTTTTATTTTCCTAAATGTCATACAACTACTGTTCTAACCGTTAATATTCTATAATTTTTTACATATGAATTTACAATCATAAAAAGAAATTCATATCACATTAAAAAAAATTGCTGTTCAAAATCAAAATTATTAAGTTACAATTAAATTAAAAAGTAAGTGTACAAATTTAAATTTATGAGAAATGCATAATTCTGACGCGTAGTAGTTAATATTGCATGACTCCATTTAAAAAAAAATAGTAGAGATGTCTAGCCTAAGATGATTGACAATAAGCCATAGGCTGATAATTGCAAGATTAAGCACAAATGGCCCAATAAATGACTACCACCCAATGGGAGCAATTCATATATTCTAGTTTACTTTTTATTTCTTGCAATAAAGTATTTGGTACATTTGCCGATTTGGAACAAAGGTGGGATTTTCATGCATCTTTTTATATAAATATGGTTGACAATATGCATCCCTCTCTGCTATAAGGCTATACCACCTTAAAGCTAAATTTAGTTCCTATTAATTGTAGATTAACTTGTCAATAGCACGTGTGCCTTAGATTCTTCATTGGAAGATCATAACTAGAAAATGACTTAATTTTTCCCATTGGCATTTCAGAATGTAATTCGATCCGTGCTACACGTAAAGTTATAACCATAGCCGACTTCTATACTCATAAAATGACATTGGGGAGGATGCTAGCTAGTTAGAATACAGAAACCCTTCATCAAGAGACGACTAAGCATAAACTTTTTTCCAAGGGTCGAAAATCCGTGACTCATAGGCATGCCAAAGGAGGAGACATTGTATGCACTGTATAATAACGGATGCATTATTAGCATATTTGAAATCTTTTTAAGATTATGTTTGGAGATGTAAACGTAATTCAAATTTTGTATTATATATATGTGTTTGATAAATTTATATTAAATTTTATTTTGATTATAAAGTTGAGTTAACACGATAAATTAAAAAATTTATACAAAATTTTGTTATAAACTTATTTTAAAAAGATCAAACATAAATTACTTTACTTTACATTCATCTTTAATTAATTTTTTATATAAAATAAAGTCATTCAAAATCTATTTTACAAATGCACAACCAAACACACAATGTATATATCATAAACGGTGGCATCCCAATTCATTGGTTAATTATTAGCTACAAACTTCGCGACAATTGTAGAACCCCTCCTCGAATCTCATATATTCCACTTGCAAATTATGTGGCCGTGCGTGTGTTTCTAGGCTCCGATTACCCTACAAACAGTGCAGCTACTGAAACAGTTGCATAAACCTTGTGCTGTATACATATGTAACGCTTCATCACCTAGGTGTTCATATTTCTCGAGCTTTACCTACCAAGAAAAATCGCTAAACTTACATTGGGGATAATAAGAACAATATATAATGCTGATATCATCACTTACCAGTACTTCAATTGTCACCTAATTAGAGGATCAAAATCAAGATCAAGATCATAATAGTAGAGCCGAAATAGAAAAAAGACTAGTGTACCCCTACATGAACAATGTCCACATAATAGAAAGCTAAGAATGAAGAGAGCCAAAAGTGCAAGCTAGAAAATGTCTATGATATTGCATATTTACTTCTATAAACCAAATGCGTAAGCTATAATGATCCATTGAAAAGATATAGCACGGTTGTATTATACCATTATACTATATATATTCATATACGTAAATGTAATATTGTTTTAGAGGTACGCAATGTTGTCCTATTCTTGCCAGGTGACGAGAGATAAGTTCCATAGTTATAGCTTCACGGCTTCAACTAGAAAATGAAGCATAAATAGATAGCCTGCTTTTTTTTATCGTACAAGGCAATTATAATTTGCTTTAAGTGTGTTGGATAGGAGAGGTAGTGCAGAAAGAACAAACAAGAGTACCAACTCATTTGAATTTGTGAACTAAGCCAAACTTTGGAGGCATTGGGGGAGTGGGACCCAACTCAGAAATTTTCTTCAAAGGTTGAGAGAGAGAGATGGCAAGAGTTTATTTTCTATTCTGGTTACAACAATTTACATTACCGAGCTTTAAACATACAAAGAACCTGGCAGGTTTTATGATGTTAACTCCATCCTTTTTGTTTCTAGACAGATATGAGGGTCAAAGTTTTCTAAGAATACCAATTAAATATATAGTTTGTGTTTGATTGCAGAGATTTCGGTGAAAGAGACATAAATCGCTGTGAAATGAAAAGCAGATTCCATTTCTGTCTTAGGCTATAGGTGCTAATGAATACAACATCATATATACATACTACATTACATTGCATATAATAATCAATACGCCACAAGCCTTGCTGTATTCCCCTATAAATTCTTCATCTTAGTATACTATATTTTCTCAAAAGGTGTTTCTTAAAGAATTAGCATATTCACAAGACACAAACACTTTGAGAGAAAAAGAGAGAGAGAGAGAGAGATGGAGCTGTATGACCAGGATTTCTTGGAGGAATTGATGACTCTAAGAAGAGAAACATGGGACACCAATCCAAACACAGAAGAAAACCCATTCTTCTCTAATAGCTGGAGTTTTGACTCTTTTGATCAAAACTCTCTACCTTATCTCCCAAACTCTTCTTGTGGTCAAGAAGTTCCTCAAGGCTACAATGACTACACCTTCAATGAAATCTATGGTTCCTTACTTGATGAATCTTTTGCACCACAGATTATTGATTCACACTATAATACCCTCGATACTCCACTCAACACCCCTCCATTTCTTGCTCAAGAAGATTATCCATTGTCCATGATGGAAGAAGATGACCCGGGTTTGCTAGGGGAAGAGCTTCAAAATTTGGAGCTGCAAACCACATGCAAAATGGAACCAACCCAATCTCCTGAAATGCCAGTTTTCAACATGGGTACTGGTCTTGAAAGAAAGAATCGATCAAAGAAGCTGCAAGGGCAACCCTCCAAGAATCTAATGGCTGAGAGGAGAAGAAGAAAGAGATTAAACGATCGTCTCTCAATGCTAAGAGCAATTGTCCCAAAGATAAGTAAGGTATGCAGTGAGAGTCATTCATCCAATGAATACTGTAAGTAAAGAATAACTATAATTAGTGTCATGTGTGGATCTAATTATTTTGTACTATTAAATTCTTATCACAGATGGACAGAACTTCAATACTTGGAGACACTATTGATTACATGAAAGAACTTCTTGAGAAGATCAACAATCTGCAACAAGAAATAGAGGTAGATTCAAACATGGCAGGGATTTTCCGAGATGCAAAGCCAAATGAAATCTTAGTGAGAAATTCACCCAAGGTATGAATTTTCCCTACCAAGAACCCTTTGAAATAAGTCATTTCTGAAGGATCCCAATTATGAGTGGTGCAATCCTACATTCATTTTTATTTTTATTCTTTTGGTCATTGCAGTTTGAGGTGGAGAGGAGTTTGGATACAAGGGTCCAAATTTGCTGTGCAGGGAAACCAGGCTTGTTGCTATCTACAGTGAACACCCTGGAAGCATTAGGCCTTGAGATTCAACAATGTGTCATTAGCTGTTTCAATGATTTTACAATGCAGGCTTCTTGTTCAGAGGTACATTAGTGTCATGATTTTTTGGGCATTGTATAAAAAATGTTATTTAGTTGTAGCTTTTCCATTCATTCTATATGATCTATTTTTGGTTGAGGCATGGTGTAATTAATTGTATTATCCTATTTGTTATGTAACAGGAATTGGAGGGAAGGACAATGCTGAGTTCTGAAGATATAAAGCAAGCTCTATTTAGAAGTGCAGGATATGGAGGAAGATGTTTGTGAGAATAGAACAGAGGAAGGAGCGTTGCAAATGCACTTAAGGGTGCAATGTTGATTGATTGGTTTTGTTCTCTCACATATGCCGAATACAATGACCAAATTTATTTATTTTTAATCAAAATGCCAGAGTATGCTGGACTCGTCCGTGTGATTCTCAGGCACAGTTACCAATCATAAATGTTCATGTAGATGTAATCATGTAATAATACAATTTATGTACGAGAAACCCTAGTGATTGCCCTTGAGGGATGCATGTGAAGGGCTAAAGCAAAAAATGTTGACATAATAAGAGAGTAAAGTTCGAGTTTTGTTTCTATTATTTTCAGACATGACTTTTCAATTTCTCTCTCTGTGTAACTACTATGTGTAAAGACACTTTTCTTGGAATGATGTGACATTGATAATTATTGATAATTAAATACCTTTGATGCTGGAGGGTGCTAGTTTTCCAATGAAAGAATGTGAGCGTTGGTTATTTGCTCAAATTTCATTAGCAAAAAGGATAAATGAACTACAAAAGAAGCATTTATAGAACACGAGGATAGAGACTTTTCCTAACAGCGACATTAAAAATAAAATAAAAATATCAAGCATTACTCCAAAAGAGCTATTTAATTCTTTTTAACGTCCATAAAAAATCGTATAAAAAATTACTATGAAGAGTATTCTTATAAAACTTGTTAAGAATTTAGAAATTTTTTTTTACAATTTATGACACCTTGAATATTTTATTTTTCATCAAATATATTTATTTTTTTAATTATTTACGGACATTACTGAGCCCCATGAAAATAAGTGCATAAATCTACAAGCCCACAACAAATCATAGGACTTGTAGTTTTGTTCGGTTTTCTAAAGTGGAAAGGGAAGACATGGTTCAAAGAGGGGGAAAGGGGAGAAAAATGATAATTAACCTTTAGTTGCGACTCATAAAGGGAATAAAAAAAACAACGAAATCTGCCTAAAAACTTATCCATCTACAAAATTGAAGTGAGAATATGATTTTTGTAAAAATGTCTAAAATGACTGCGATGTACTAATGTTTTATATGTTTACTTTTTTTAACTACCGATTATTTAGAATAAAGACAAAATAGTAATTATTTCATAATTTACCCTTTTTTTTCATTTAATAAAACCAAATTTTATGTACATAACTTGTTCACTCCAATTTTTTCTTTCTCATTTTGGTTTCTTTTTTTTTTTTTAACTTCTAAACAGATTGGCTTGGTACAAAGTGACACTTCGAAAGCTTAAAGCTTGCCCCTTTTTCAAAACGATCTTTTCTAACAACAATTCTTCTCTCTCTCTCTCCCTTGGGTAGAGTCTAGGAATGGACTTTACCTGATAAAATGCAACAAGTACGAGACGAACTATATATAAATTATCAAGACATATAAATCATCACGTATATGTGCGGGGCATGGTCTTGAACCATATAATCAGCAAGAGAACTAAACTTAGCGTGTCATACATATTAATTCATCAGTGTTACACTCCTCTGCCCGGTTCAAAACAAGATTGTGTTTCCACTTAGCTATGGAAAATATTAACAAACAGTTAGATAAGTAGCAAATTAAACTCGAGACATAAGAGGTACTAAATGTGAATTGCTAAGATTTATGCAGTCTCTACAGAAGAATTCAATTATTTTGGTCGGCACTAATGGCCGAAACATATGATCAGTGAGATAGAAATTAGAAGCCAACTTGCACATGCATATCGATCAATCCAAAATTAAACAAAATTGAATAAGTCCAAAACCCTCATGTATCAAGCATTATTACTGCATGTTAGTACTAACTCCAAAGCTGTCATTTCAGTGAAAGGGTGCATATGTTCGTTGTCTATGTACTATCCATGTTCACATTCTGTAACAAAGTTATTACATGAAACATCCAAAATCCATACACCTAGCTAGCTAGCAGTTCGTAAAATAAAATAATAACTAAATATAAGACTTAGATTCCAATGATAGAAAACCCTTGTCATCTGCTTGTAAAATCAAATCAAAGTCTTATCCATTTTTTATTTGGTTCTGAATTAATTGCTCTAAAGAGAGCTCAGATAAGAGTTGCCATTGCCCCGCTCGCTTTATAATCCACACAGGAGAATCTTTCAGATATGACCAATGCCTTGGCGTCACTGCTTTTTAGAAAGCTCAATTGTGATAACTCCTCGTGTCACAAAAAGCCATCAACAACGGAAGAAGCTAAGATCTTGCCCTAGAATCCACGTGTATACACACTGATTTTAGGTTTCTTTTCATTAATTACATGGTTTATTAAGAAGAAATATGCATATATTTTATAAGTTTTACAAATATTATAAAACTTACAAAATACTTTTTTTTTTCTCTCTTAACAAACCATCCAATAAATATTTTTTTCATGTTACCTATATATCATTTCATATTTTTAAAACAAAGGGATCGAAAAAAAGAAGAATCTTCATAAATTTTATTAGAAAAATTATTTTATAATTTTAATTTTTTTTTCTTTATCACATTGTGTATTTGTTTTTATCTATCCCTTAATTAGAAAATATAAACAAAAATAGAAATTTTCTGTCTCAAAATATACAAATGTAAGAAAAAACATTTGAATAGGATGATGGTATATTAAGCAGGTAATGATGATTCGATGACTTTTTTCTTTTTTTCTGAATCCAACGTGATTGTTTTGATTTCAGAGCAGATCAGCTATATCCTACATGTATCTGTACGTTGTTCAGACATGAGACATGAGAGATGAAAGACCCAGCACCTGGCCCCGTCGGCGAGAATAAATCATCTTACAGAGGTGCAAGAAAAGACACAGCCTAGTACATGTCTCCATGAGCTTGTGCCATTTTACGATGTAATTGTCTTGAAAATGCATATATTGAAAAATGTCTCCATATAATAATTGAATATCTGAAAAATAAATTATCATGAAATTTATTTATTTATATACGTAAGATTACAGGCTATTTTTTTTTCGTGTTTATATTTTTATGTTTAAAATGATCAATTTGTAAATATTTATAGACAAACTTTAATCAACTAATATAATCAACTGATATTTCCAAACCCATTTCTTCTATTCTTTGTATTGCAATGGACAGTTTTCACTGTGGAGAATACTGGCGCAACATAGTGAACGAGATTCTTTCACTTTAGAAAGCGTTTTGCTGAGAGAGGGGGAGAAAAAATATTAAGAATACATTTTTTAACATCTTCTTATTTATTTGTTAAAATTTATTAAAAATTAAAAAATTATGAGTAAAAATTATCATATTTAATCAATTTTAGTTAATAACAAAAAATATGTTTAAAGGATTATGTTAAAAAATATATTGTTAATCTTTTTTAAAAGTATTGAACTGAACTTCACTGATGATTAATAAACTGATGTATGCACGTCTGAATTTTAGCCCGTTAAATAATATTTTTAAATTAAAATAAAGAAAATATTTACAACACTTTAAGGTTAAATTTGTGAATTAATTTTAAAAGGATGTTTTTAAGTAAATTTTATTTGATTTAATATTTTAAAATACAATAGTAAATTAATATAAATTTAATTAATTTTTTTTATTTTTATAAATATTATATAATCCCTTTATTTAAAATTTCTTTTAAAACATCATTCCTAAGCATATAACTGAATGTTTTTAATGAGAACCATTGTATCAATATCATTGTAAGGTGGGATCTGAAGGGGCTTCATATGCACTGATATGCTAAGGTTTGTGAGTTCAGCGAACTGTATTGGACAGTTTTTACTGCATGGGAAAGTGTCGTTTGCCCATTATTGATGGAATACAATTATTTCGCACGAAAATAGCTTTAAAAAAATTAAACTATTTAGTTAAAATTGTAAAACAAAAATAAAGCTAAAACTAATCTGTTTTTAATTTCAAAAAACTATCTTGAATATATTTATAAATGAAATTAATAAAATTTAAATTTTAAAACTATTATTATTATTATTAAATAAAAGATAATTTCCACTTTTTATATAGTCTTTAAAAAGGAATTACTTTTTATACATTCTTAAAATCGAAAATTGAAGCAAGAAGACTCATTATTAACATAAATTCTTTACGTTTAAACTTTTCTATAACGTAAGATAAAGTTATTCTACTGTATAATTGGTCATGACATCGCTAACATGTTTAAGATTCTGAAGCATCGACAGATGTTTATTTGGGATTTGTTAAAAGGATGTTATAAGTTTTAATTTTTTTAGTTTTAAACATAATAAAACAATATATATTCAGATAAAATGAATTAAATTAATTTAAATTTAAATTTAAAACATTTTAAATATAACTTTATGACCAAATAAGTGATTCTAATTTTTAATTGAAAAAAATCATTTAATTTCTTCCATTTTCTCTCATAAGACTCATTTACTACTTACCGTCATTAGTATCATCACAATATCACTAATGAATCACCACTGCTTAAACAATTAAACATAATTATCCTTCTTAGTTTCATTATTGCTATCTTCGTTGTTTCATAATCGTCACTAATTGACCATCGTTGTTGTTAGAACTTAGAACGTTCCTTTGCACGTTACCCCGTGGTTAAAATAGTTAGTCTACAGACATCTATTTTTAAACAATTTTATATTTAAAATGACTTGAAAGGTGGTTCAAATATATTTTTAACTTAATTGGTTAACTTTTTATTTGTATCTCTCTTCTTACTTTAAATCAATTATAAAAATAGATATAAATGAATATTTCAATTTTTACAAGTTAACTTGATGGTTTGCAAACTAGCAAACTCAATTTGTAAACAAATTATTCAAGTGAACTCACTTAGACTCACAATTATATGAATCACATAATTTTAAGTTTAAATTTATAAATTTGTGTGTTTTTGTGGATCAAAACTCATGTATCCTCTTTCAACCATTGTTATTAATATAACCAACACAACTATCATTATCACAATCACACCATTCACTTATCAAATTAATCATTGCTGCTTTCGCTACTATTATTATTATT